AATCTAATTATTGGCGTATTTGTATTTCACTGAAGTACAAAGAAGCTATACTTTAATAAACAATGGACACACTCACACTGTAATCTAATTATTGGCGTATTTGTATTTCACTGAAGTACAAAGAAGCTATACTTTAATAAACAATGGACACACTCACACTGTAATCTAATTATTGGCGTATTTGTATTTCACTGAAGTACAAAGAAGCTATACTTTAATAAACAATGGACACACTCACACTGTAATCTAATTATTGGCGTATTTGTATTTCACTGAAGTACAAAGAAGCTATACTTTAATAAACAATGGACACACTCACACTGTAATCTAATTATTGGCGTATTTGTATTTCACTGAAGTACAAAGAAGCTATACTTTAATAAACAATGGACACACTCACACTGTAATCTAATTATTGGTATATTTGTATTTCACTGAAGTACAAAGAAGCTATGACTACTAGTGTAATCATTTAGTGTCATTGTGTTAATAATTACTTTATATAATTACCACGTTGGATCCAACTGATATAGTGCTATCATGGTTGAACAGTTAGAGGCACTTCTGTAATTTGGTTTCTTTTGTAGTTTATGGTTATTTATCTAATTTAATAACTATACTATCAGTTACTATTTGTGATATAATATAACATAATGTTTAGGGCCAACAAGAGACCTATTGGTCCATCTAGGCTGTTCCATCCTCTAAACTAACTATAACTATTAAAAGAACCTCAAAAGTAGCTCTTAACTTGCATACAGTTATCAAGCTTTCTCTTAAATTGACTGCTTCCACAATATCCGAAGGCAACCCATTCCAAAGGCCAGCCACCATTAAAACTGTCTTTATATTTGTGTCTCCTAGTCCTACCATTCTCCCCATTAAGTATGAAAACACAATCTCAAACACCTTAATCAGATCCCTTCTAACTCTTCTATTTTTAAGAGAATACAGTTTCAGAGATCTTAATCTCTCCTCGTACGACAACATCTCCATCCAAGGTACCATTCTAGTAGTCCTCCTCTGAACTCTTTCCAACAATTCAATGTCCTTCCTTAGGTAAGGATCCCAAGACTGAACACAATACTCCAAATGTTGTATAACTAGTGACCTATACAATGAAATTATAACCACTTTAGACTTGTATTCAATATTTCTCTAGACGAAACCTAAAATCCTATTTGCTTAAGAGACTGATCATTCATTACACCAAAATCCCTTTCTATCATGACACTGTTAAAGTTATTCTCATCCAGATTATACTTATAATTCAAATAATGATAACCCACATGCATTTATCTTGCATTTATTATAATTAAATTCCATCTGCCATTTATTTGTCCAACTTACTAAATAATATATTTTTTTTTGTAAAGCAGTAGCATCCTCCTCACAGCCAGCAACACCCAAGATCTTAATATCATCTGCAAATTTAAGTAATTTATTGACTATCACTTCATCTATGTCATTGATGTAAATAAAAAAGAGCAAAGGTCCTAAGAATAAGCTCTGAGGTACCCCACTTGTAACCTTAATCCAGTTTGACTGAAATCCATTTGTAACAACCCTCTGCTGTCTTCCATCCAGCCACTCTTCTATCCAGTCAGCTAACTTATCCCCCACACCTATACAGATAATTTTTACATGCCTTTTATGTGTCACCAAATGCTTTCTGAAAATCCAGATACACCAAATCCGCAAGATTTTCCCTTAGTGAAACCATGTTAACTATCTATAAAATTCCAAACTTTGTTAAATGACTTTGCAAAGCATCTTTTATCAGACTTTCCAAAAAGTTTCCCACAACTGTTGTAAGACTAATGAGTCTGTAATTACTGGGACACTTTTTTTATCACCTCCCTTGAAAAGAAGAGTAACGTTAGTTAACTTCCA